AAGACAGCTGTGCATTTGTGGCTCACAGTTCAGCCTCAAACATGTTTTAATAAGGTAGTATGAAAGTTTTTGACAGATGGACAAAGGTATTGAAAACAAGGAGGTTATGTCAAAAAATGATGTATTTGTCTTTTCTAAAAGTTTATTAAATAAATTCTATAGCCAGAGCACAGATAATTTTTTACTCACCCTTGTCAAATGTTTGGAAGGCACAATAAAAACTATTGTAAATTTGTGTTTAAAGTATTTGATTCATCATTATGTCTTCTCTATAACTCTTCCAGACCATACATTTTTAGTTTCTTTGGTGAATTTCTTGGAACTGCCACAGTGCAAAAGACTATTGTAAACATAATATGAGGCTATCTCTGTAAGGAATAATCATTGAAAATAATAATAATCACTCATTCATTTATACTGATAAATATATGTGACTCCTGGTGTGGCACTGTAGGATCAGCACTACACTATAAATCACAAGGTCAGTAGTTCAAACCCACCAGCTGTTCCTTGGAACCCCTATATAGAATCACTATTAGTCAAAGCCAACTGGATGATACATAACAGTAATAACAATATGTGAAAAAAGGAGCCCTGATGACTCAGTGGCTAAGCGCTGGGCTGATAACTGAGAGTCCGGAAGTTTGAACCCACAAGTTGTGTGATGAAAGAAAGATCTAACAATCTGCTCCCATAAAGATCGACAGCCTTGGAAACCCTAGGGGGTAGTTCTACTCTGCCCTATAGAGTTGTTATGTCAGAATTGACAGAACGGCAGTGTGGGTACACTTTCAGTAAGTGAACATAAGAAAATCAGTAGATGGCATTAATTTTGACTTTTTGAAATTCTTTCCAAGGGGTTCACATCAAAAAATATAAAAAATATTAAAGAGATAATGGGGGCTGGTATCTAAGACAGGACATAATATGGGGAGGGAAGGCATGGGAGGCAGAACACAAAGAAACAGGAACAACTAGGAAATCTCTGAAAGAGAGTACACCCTTAAGCTGGTTGTTATCTGAAATCAGATTGTCTTAATAATTTGAAGAATTTTAACAGAAAAATGTTCCTAAGATACAAGATAACTATCCCCTCTAAATCATAAGGAGAAAGTTGCTGGCTCATAAATAGGCCTAAAGAACTTGAAGGATATATGAGTACAATTATTGACATATGTGGATCCTGGTGTGGCTCTGTGGGTTAATGCACCAGACTGCAAAGCCATTTGAACAGCAAAGTGAGCGGTTCAAGCTCACCAGCTGCTCCTCAGAAACCCTATTACAGGGTCGCTATGAGTCAGAATCAACTCAATGGAACTTAACAACAACAACATTGACATATATGGAGATAAATGAAGGCAAGTGAATAATTAATATCTTGGTTACCTGTATAAGCAGGTAAATTATCAATAATTTAAGACAGTAATTCACTGATAATCTTGAAAGAAAACAGAAACAAAGAAAGCAGCTAGAAAGAAAAGACAATAATTAGTACATATGTGTGCAACCCCATCTAAGACACAATTTTGAATAGACTTTATATTGGTCTAACTTTCATTCTTCATAAAGAAAGACATTCTCAGTGAGTGTGATAATTATTAATATTTATTACTTATGTATCAAACCATCTGATCTTAAATGTCAGATAAATTTAAGGTCTACAATGATCAGGTAAAATATTTTATAATATTATTTTTGAGCTCTTTCTGAAAATCTCTAGTGGTCTGAAAACTCTCTTCATTGCTGTCTTCATCTCTTTATTCCTGAATGTATAGATAACTGGATTTAGAAAAGGAGTGAGAACTGCATCAGAAAGCGCAAGAAATTTGTCCATCTGGGAATTGGGATTTGGCCATGTATAGACAAGCATAGTTGGACCAAAGAAGAAAAAGACCACAGTGACATGAGCTGACAGAGTGGAGAGAGCCTTGGATGAACCACCTGAGGAATGTTTCCAAACAGTAAACAGAATGAAGATATAGGATAGGAGAAGTATCAAAAAAGATCCAACACAAATGAACCCACTGTTGATGGTCACCATGAACTGTAGTCTGTAGGTATCTCTGCAGGCCAGTTGAAGGAGCTTGGGTAAGTCACAGTAAAAGCTGTCCAATACATTAGGGCCACAGAAGGGTAAATTAACGATAAACACCAGTTGGAACAATGAATGAATAATACCAATGACCCAGGCAGCAGTCAAAAATGAAATACATATTCGTGGATTCATGATAGTCAGGTAGTGAAGAGGTTTACAAATGGCCACATATCTGTCAAAAGCCATGGCTATGAGCAGCACCATCTCCACAGCACCAATGACATGAATGAAGAAGATCTGTGTGATGCAACCTCCAAAGGAGATGACTTTGTGTTTTCTGAAAAGGTCATAAATCATCTTGGGAGAAGCAGTGGAGCAGGCGCCCAGGTCAATGAAGGAGAGACTGGCCAGTAGGAAGTACATGGGGGAATGTAAATGAGGATCAATGGTCACAGAAAACACAATGAGGATGTTTCCAGTCATGCTTGCCACATAGAGCACAGAGGAGAAGACCAAGAGGAGAAGCTGGATCTCCCATGAATTGGTGAGTCCCAGAAACACAAACTCAGACACCCCAGAGTGATTCCTTGCATCCATTGACTCAACCAGGAGACTGTTGCTGAAAGTCTGAGAATTAAGAAAATAAGGAGGAACTTTTTATTATTAGGTATTAAAGTGACTGTTACTATTTATGTTTCAGTATTACATTTTGAAAGAGAATTATCCCGTTATGTAATTCTTCACAATTGCTCAATAATGAGGAAGATATAAGCACAATTCAAGAGCATACATAATGACTAGAACTATCAACAAAATTACCAACAATCTCAAATAATAGTAGACAATTAGACAAGAACAAAAGCTTCACAGGAACTTGCAGCAAGAAATAAAATCTGAACCTATGCTTATTTTCAAAGAGAATAGCAAATACTATTAGCATAGAGAGGAAACTTACAAAAATACATCCCAGGTATAGGGAACAGTGGGCAAAATATGAACAATGTATATTATTTGTGTAAAAATACAGTACATGGAATAAACTTATGGTGTGGTGTTATGGGTTAATTTGCTGGAATTGAAAGTCAGTTTGATCCACAGCATTGGCAGTTCACGCACCAGTCACTCCTTGGAAACCTCATACAGGGTTGCTATGGGTCAGAACTGACTCAATGGCACATAACTACATAAGAAAAGCAAATAAGGAAGCGCTTCATGACACAGCTGAATTTACTTTTCCCTCTCAAACGCATCCCATCTCCATTTTAAGCTAACTTAAATACAATTCACCCTCACAATTTACATTCAGAAACTAGGGTTGTTTGTTAAACGTCGTCAAGTTGATTCTGACTCATAGCAACCCTATATAAGGTTTCCAAGGAGTGGCTGGTGGGTTTGAGCTGCCGACCCTGTTGTTGGTAGTCCAGTGCTTATTCTACAGCTCTAGAAAGTCAGGGAAAAAGGAGATATCCGTTACGGCTATCAGTGGATTACCCCTGGAAGTGAGAGCTGTGTGAATCATGACATGGGACTAAACTAAGGAGAAACAAACTAAAAAAGCAGATGTATACTGATATCAAGATAAATAAATAAAATTGGTGTGTATGAAATCTCAGAGCCAGGTAAGAATTATAGTAGGGGGAGAAATATGTGGGCTTTATCAAAGATACAACGATAACTCTTTCACATCATGTTTAATCAGACTTGCTGCTCAATATACAATAAGAGGGAGGTCAGCAAAAAAATAATGGGGTCAAGGGAATAAACTGAAAGGAGTGAAAAAGTTAAAGGCAACTAAAGCATAAATACTATATACACAGTCCTGCAATAACAGTGATCTGGGAGTAAATGGATGGATAGACACACAGGCTGGATGGGTTTCTGGAAGGTGAATGGAAATATACCCATGAATATATACATGAATTCCTTAAACCTGGAGCTCTGGTAGTGTAGTGGTTACAAATCAGGCTGCTAATCTTATGGTCAGCAGTTTGAAACTACCAGCTGTTCCACGGGAGAAAAATGAGGCTTTCTGCTCCCGTAAAGATTAATAGCCTCAAAAATCCTATGTTGGGTTGCTATGACTTGGAACCGACTCCATGGCACATAACAACAACATATATAGGTTTAACAGAGGGTAGTTGCATAGTTGGAGTCCTGGTGTGGCACTTTAGGATAAGCACTCAACCATACGGTCAGTTTGAACTGCAAGGTCAGTGATTCAAGCTCACCAGCTGCTCCTTGGAAACCTTATACAAGATTGCAATGGGTCAGAATCAACTTGACAGCACTTAACAACAACAACAATAACAGTTACATATGTGTATTTATCTTTGCTGCTAATAATATACTCATGATTGTGATGGAACATAGAAACCAAAACAACCCACTACCATTGAGTAGATTTCAAATCACAGTGACTCTATAGAGGGTTCCTGAGATTGAAAATCTTTACAGGAACAGACAGCCTGATCTTTCTCCCACAGAGAAACTGGTAGATTTGAACTACTGACTTGTAGTTAGCAGTACAATGTTTATCCTCCAGGTTCCTGTGGTAGAGTACTGTTGATGATTTTTGCTGTTAGATGCCATTGAGTCAGTATCAACTCATTGTAATCTTATGCACAACAGAACAAAACACTGCTCAGTTCTGTACGAACCTCACAATAGTTGCTACTACTGAGCCCATTGCTGCTGCCATTGTGCCAATCCATCACATTGGGAGTTTTCCTCTTTTTCAATGACCATCCACTTTTCCAAGCACGATGTCCTTCACCAGGGGCTGGTCCCTTCTGATAATATGTCTGATATGACAGGCAAAGTCTGCTCATCCTGCCTTCTAACGACCATTCTGGTTGTATTTCCAACACAGATTTATTTGTTCTTTTAGCAGTCCATGGTGCTTTTAATACTCACTTCTAACACCATAGCTCAAATGCTCCTACTTTTCTATAGTCTTCTTTATTCATTGTCCAACTTGCACATGCATAGGAGGTTATTGAAAATACTATGGCTTGGGTAAATCAAACATTAGTCCTCAGACTGACATCTTTGCTCTTGAACACTTTTAAGAGGTCTTGTGCCCGCAGGTTATCCTAATATGATATGTCATTTGATTTCTTGACTGCTGCTTCCATGAACGTTGATGGTTGAACTGAGCAAAATCAAGTCCTTGACAACTTCAATTTTTCTCCATTTATATGGATATTATTTATTGGTCCAGTGATGAGGGTTTTTGCTTAAAGTACAACCAATACCAAAGATCGCGGTCTTTGATCTTCATCAGTAACTGTTTTAAGTCCTCTTCACTTTCAGCAAGCAAGGTTGTCTCATCTGTATATCATAGATTGTTATCCAGTCTTTTTCAAACTTCATGTCACATTTTTCTTCATAAAATCCAGCTTCTCATATTATTTACTTAGTATGCAGATTGAATAAGTATGGTGAAATAATACAACCCTGGAGCACAGTGTTCCCTTGTTCTGTTCAAACAACTGTCTCTTGGTCTATGTTCAAGCTCCTCATGAGCACAATTAAGTGTTCTGGAATACTCACTTTCTGCAATGTTGTTTATAGCTTGTCATGATGCACACAATCGAAAGATGTAGTGTAGTCAATAAAGCACAAGTTAACATTACTCTGGCATTCTTTGCTTTCAGCAAAGATCCATGTGACATCAGCAATGATATCCCTGGTTCTGCATCCTCATCTGAATTCTGTTTAGAACCTCTGAAGTTCCCTGTCAATGTACTATTACAGTCATTTTTAAATTATCTTTAGCAAAAAATTGCTTGTATGCATTATTAAAAATATTGTCTGACAATTTCCACATTCCATTGGATCATCTCTCTTTGAAATCAGAAAAAAATATGGATCTCTTCCAATCAGTTGGCCAAGTAGCTGTCTTTCAAATTTCTTGGCATAGATAAGTAAGTGCATCCAATGCGCATCCATTTGTTGAAAGATTTTGATTTGTATTCTGTCAATTCCCAGAGCCTTGTTTTTTGCTAATGCCTTCAGTGCACCTTGGATTTCTTCCTTCGGTATCATGGCTGTTGATAATATGCTACTTTTTGAAAAGGTTAAATATCAACCATTTCTTTTTGGTACAGTGACCCTGTATTCCTTCCATCTTCTTTTGATGCTTTCTGCACCATTCAATATTTTGCCCAATTTTGTTGTTGTTAAGTGTCATTGAGGCAGTTCTGACTCATAGCAACTTTGTATAAGGTTCCAAAGGAGTAGCTGGCAGGTTTCAACCACTGACCTTGCATTCCAGTGCATTATTCAGCAACGCCGTACCAGGAATCCTTTTGCTCATATGACCTTGAACATATCCCACCTGAATTTAGAGATCATCTCAAGAATGGATTTGATGAATTACACACTAATGACTGAAGACCAGGAGAGTTGTGGAATGTCATCAAGAACATCATACAGGAAGAAAGCAAAAGGTCATTAAGAAGAAAAGAAAGAGGAAAACACCAAAGTGGATGTTAGAACAGACTCTAAAACTTGCTATCCAGCATAGAAAAGCTAAACAAATGGAAAAAACGAGGAGGTAAAAAGCTGAATAGAAAATTTCAAAGGGCAGGTCAAGAAGACAAAGTCAAATGTTGTAATGCAATATGCAAAGACCTGCAGTTAGGAAACCAAAAGGGAAAAACACACTCAGCATTTCTCAAGCTGAAGGAATTGAAGAAAAAATTCAAGCCTTGACTTGAAAATTTGAAGGATTCTATTTTGTTCATAGCATCTCTATGCTGGAGAGCAAGTTTCAAAGTTTCTTCTGATGTCCACTTTGGTCTTTTCCTTATTTTTTGTCTTCTTGATGACATTTTGCTTTCTTCCTGTATGATTTTCTTGATGTTATCCCACAACTCTCTGGTATTCATTCATTAGTGTCTAATTTATCAATTTGTTCTTGAGATGATCTCTAAATTCAGCAGTGATATGTTTAAGGTAATATTTTGACTCTCATGGACTTGTTTTAATTTTCTCTAGCTGAATTTGCATATGATCAATTGATAGTCTGTTCTACAGTCTGCTCTGGCCTTGTTTTGGCTGATAATATGGAACTTTTCACCATCTCTTTCCTAATATGTAGTTAGTTTGATTTCTGTGTATCCCATCTGGTGAGGTCTACACATATAGTCATTTTTTATGTTGTTTTAAAAAGGTATTTGCAATGAAAAAGTAATTGATCTTGCAGAATTCTGTCATGTGATCTCTGGCATTGTTTCTATCATCAAGACTCTTTGTTTCCAAACTTTATGTTCCAATCACCAGTAATTATCAATACATTTTTATTGCATGTTTAATAAATTTCAGAATGAAGTTGATAGAATTCTTCTAATTCATGATTGATTACAATCCCACATTGTAATAAGCTTTAGTGGTTAGAGCATAAATTTGAATAATAGTGGTATTAACTGGTCTTCCTTGGGGATGTATGGATATTATCCTATCACATTATACTTCAAGATAGATCTTGAAATGTTCTTTTTGATGACGAATGTGACACCATTACTTTTCAATTTGTCATTCCCAGCATAGTAAACTATATGGTTGTCATATTCAAAATGACTAATACCAGTCTA